TCAGCTTAAAATACCCATTGCATCATTTATTATAGCCTATAGAATATGTCCATTTTGGTATCTGAGTACAGTGTAGCCTTTAAATGCAAATGAGCTGCTTCTCCTCGCCCAACTTTCCACTGTTGATTTTCACCATAGGTGCCCTTTAAATAGGAAACTCTTTTTTTTTTTAACCTTTTTTTAGATGCTAATGGTCTAATCTGATTCAATGATTTATGCTAAGCTATGCTAAAAGTGCTCTCATCATACATGATCGGCCAAATAGATAAAAAAAAATTAAACTATTTGTGAAATAAGCTTTAAACTAAGCGTATTTCTAAACACAAAAGTGGGGTATTCCTTATAAACAAGCTAAAGTAACATAAAAACATTTTATTCGTACAATTTCACAAAAATGTCAGAAACCAAAATGTCCACGACACTAAAGACAATGAAGCTACATTATGAAGTTTTATTGAAAGGATCCCATTAAGCTACAACATTGTGTCACAAGGCCATTTTAATAAATATCATCAAACGACGAGGAAATATGAAAGGTTTCTGCTTGAACTATCTTTCAGACATATGAACATCAGGCCAACTGCAGAGCCTAAAAACCCTCATCTCTGCTGACTAACATGAGTAAAATGTCTCCCACAAGATGATCCGCTTTCCAAATCTCACATCTATTAGCCTCTTTAAATAAATCTCAAAGAAATCATGCTAAAAACCCACAGTTAGGTCTCTTTAAAATGTGAGAAATGCTATTTATTTCTTGTTACTCAAAGGTGGAGGATGACAAGATTCTCTGCAGACTATTCTTCATCATGACAACCAGAGGATGATGTTTGAGCCTCACGATCAAAGCACTCCCTATTTAATCTCCTCTAAAACACACACACACATACACACATAGGATCATTTAATGTCCCACTGTACTGCTCCCTTGTATAGAGCCAAAGACACGGTTGCACTTAAGCAGAATTGAATAGATGTTCAGTCAATATGGAGCACTGTGTGTGACCCCGTTGAAGAGCTACAGGTATCAAAGTGGAAAACAAAAGGAGCCCAAGTAACACGGACAGTCAGCAAGAGCACTGTTTTTCAAGAGTTTAAAGATCAAAAAAGCTCAAAAGGAAAGGTGAAGTGGGAGTAAATGACACAAATGATATAATGAGTTGCTTTTGATTAGAGGTTACAGGCAGTTTTAAACTAATATCTCTTTCAGGGAAAGTGTGTTTACCCTTCTGAAATCCCAGCATGAGGTCTTACCGTATTTTCCATGGCACGGGTCAGTTTGGTGGGTGGTGACGTACATAGTGAAGGTGTTTAATTATTCCAGTGAACAGCTCGGATTATCCAGATCAGAGACTCCTGGGATGAACTGAGAGGCTGATTGAGAGGCATACGGAAATTAAAAAAAGATGGACTAACCTGTGCCCTGTCAATGTCTTGTTAAGTGATTTAGAGCCACAGTATAATCAATGTGCTTCAAGGGTAAATCCAGGTCTCTGGAAGTGAACTTAATTACAGAACGTAGCCTAATGTCACATTAAAATGTAATATCTGTCACTGACATTGTTTGTCTGTTCGTCAATATTTCATGCTGACAAACAGATCCTAATCATCTTTATAGATCACTTTTGTCTCATAGAGGAGCATTTAGCACATGCTTTTCTCTGCAGACTTTAACATATAGGAACTTTTGGCATTGTTTACAGAAGTCGTAAAGAAAAATCAACACATTTCTTGCTAACACTTTATTTTGAGTCACAATAACAAACCATTAACTAAGATTACTAGCTAAATAAACTACTAATTAACTGCTCATTACTACCTATGAAGGTAAAATTTGGGTTTAGGAACTGGGTAGAATTAAGGATCTAGAATAAGATCAGACTTTATAAGTACAAAAAAACTGCTAATATCTTAATAATTGGCAGGTAATAAGACAGTAGTAGTTCTGAAATGCCATCACTCTGCTTATCAATATCAATACCATGTGATGATATTAGGTCGAAGGTGTGATTATGCTGATGAGTAGGTCCTGAGACATGCTGTTTCATCCAAACGGAGGCTAGCAAATTAATTTGTAAAGTCAGTGTAGTGGAAGCTCTCCTTTGTCAAATGTTAGCTATATATTAGGGTTGGGCCGATAGACGAGACCATCATCCATCGCCGATGGCCGATAGACAACACAATGCTGAGCCGGCATCGCCAATCCTCTGCCCCGCCCCTGTCTCAAACCCGCTCACAAAAAGTACACACTTAGGCCCCGTTTGCACTAATACGTCTTACTTTTAAAATGGCATTTTAGAAGGAAAAGGATCCACATCCACACCGTGTTTTACCTAGTATTTCTGATCAACAATCTGTCTGCTGAAAGCAAACACTACACATGACCACACACACACACAGACACAGCCATACACACCGTCATGCGCTCGTCTGAGCTCCAGAGAGCAGTGCACACCGGACAGTTTATCAAGGTTGTATCGCTGGATCGCGTCTCACTCAGTGGCGTAGCGCAAAATGCATGGGCCCCCTGCACGAATTATGGACTTGGCCCCCCAATTGTGAAGGTCACAGAAATCACACACTGTGGGGGTGGTTGATGGTCGCGAAATCACAGCCTGTCTCAACTGGTCTCACAACTGGTCTCACTACAGTTGTGAAGGGTGATATTTAATTTATCTTGAACTCTTCGGACTTTTGAATCTATCAGATATTGCCTGGACGCCACAGCGTAACATGTCGAAGCAGTACACTGCTTCAATCTATCGTTTTTACACTTGTACTTAGTAATTTTAGTGACAACCTCATATACTGTTGGTTTTTACTGACCAAGTTTGTCAACGCAATTATAACGACACAGATCACTCTGCCTATTCATGTCATGAGTCCCGCAGAAAAAGTGATTGACAGGTGGTAATTTGTGTGTAGCTTATATTTATTTATTTATTATTTGGTCACGGGGAAAACAAACACCATGTAGGTCAGGTAGTTGAAATGGTAGGCTACAAATAATTAATTTGTCATAAAATAATTATTCATGAATAATTAATTCAACTCCACCTATGACGACGATGCCATGGTCCATCGGGATGTTTCACATTAGATTTTGTACAATGCCAAATTGGTCGACATCGCCCAACCCTACTATATCATTCATTCATTCATTTTCTGCCATTCATTTTCTGGGGGCAGCAGTCTTAGGAGAAAACCCCAGTTTTCCCTCTCCCCAGACACTTTCTCCAGCTCCTCCCGAGGCGTTCCCAGGCCAACCGAGAGACATAGTCCCTCCAGCGTGTCCTGGGTCTTCCCCGAGACCTCCTCCCGGTGGGGACATGCCTGGAACACCTCCCTAGGTAGGTATCCAGGAGGCATCTGAAACAGATGCCTGAGCCACCTCAGCTGACCTCTCTCGGTGTGGAGGAGCAGCAGCTCTACTCCGAGTTCCTGCCAGATGTCAGAAGTCCTCACCCTATCCTTAAGAGTGCGCTCTGCCACCCTTCGAAGAAAACTCATTTCGCTTGTGTCCGAGATCTTGTCCTTTCGGTCATGATCCAAAGCTCATAACCATAGGTGAGAGGAGACCGGTACATCCCACAACAGACAGGTACATCGACCACATTACTGCTGCCGCTGCACCAATTTGCCTATCGATCTCATGTTCCATCCTTCCCTCACTCGTGAACAAGACCCCAAGATACTTAAACTCCTCCACCTGGGGTAAGGACTTTCCTTCAACCTGGAGATGGCAAACCAC